GACAATATTGGAGATTGAAGTGCTGAAAAGGACAAAATGCGATGAAAATCGTCTATTGTTGGTCGCTACTTGAGGAGAAGCAAGACTCATGATTCAACTTTAATATTGAATATTCGATCTGAACTCCTCTCTTGTTCTTAGTATGTTGATGTACTTCTTCAATTCTATGGGTTTATATTTGATAAACGTGTTCAGTAACTTTATAGTTAGGACGAACAAATATCTTTTAGTTTTATTAAGAATTGAGGTTCCATCCTAAAAGGTCAACCTTATTAAGAGGAGTAACACAATCTTTTATAAGTTGGTTTATGTTCACATGTGGGATTCTCTTAACATGTCCCCGCAAGCTGGTGACTCATTTGAACAGACCAATCTTGAAATCCGTATGCTCACTTTTGGAGTCTTAACCCGATCGAATTGCTCGTTAGAACTTAATGGGTTCTGATACCATGTTAGAAAGAATATTGAACCTAACTCAACCTAACAAAACCGACTTGTTATGAGAGGATGGCCCTCATCTTATTAAGTGGATCGTGTAAATATTACCAGCCAATGTGGGTCTCCGATACGCCACATCACGCACAACGTGGACCATGCCAAATAACTGTAAATAAGTCGATATTGTGTGCACCCAATATTGTAAAACTGGGTCTGCTTTGATACTATATTAACATGGTATTAGAGCCCATTAAACTCCAACGAGCAATTTGATTTAATTAAGACTCAAAAAATTTGAGCACGCGGACTTCAAGATTGGCCTGCTCAAACGAGTTACCATCTTGTGGGGGCATGTTAAGGGATAAAATCTCACGTCGAATAAAGATAGAAATATAAACCAACTTATAAAGAATTGGTTTACTTCTCTTAATAAGGTTGACCTTTTAAGATGGAACCCCAATTCTTAACAAGTTTTAATGGTCTAATTCATACATTTTGATTTTCACTTTAATGTTATCTTTTATACTCTTGTTTTTGTTAAATTTATTGTCTGTAAATGCTTAGTCACCGTTTAAATGATTTGTGAACCATAATGAGACTCATATGAGATTTATGAGTCTAGAGACTGCACTGAAACAATGAAAACCATAGATTTGGATATGAGATAGAGATATATAATCCTATGATTTGTAAGATCTCATGGGGATTTTCTAGTTATTTAATTTACTTGCTTATATTAATAATTCAAATACAAACATAGTATACTTTTATAATTAAGTAGTTTTGAGTTTACCTCGAGAGACACTGTCAAATAAATTTAAAAAAAAATGATCTATTGCATGATT